AATATATGTCAGTAATTACATTAAATATAAATGGACTAAATATTCCTGTTAAAAGATTAAGATTGTCAGATTGGGAAAAAACCCCAGCTAGATACTACTTATTAGACATGCATCTTAAATATAAGGACATAAGATGATTGATAATAAAAGAATGTTAAAGTTATAATGCCATGTAAATAATAACCAAAGAAGCTGATGTAACTATAGTAATATCAGACAAAGTAGACTTTAAAACAAAAAGAAATAAATTATAAGAGGTTAAGGAGGATATTTTACAATAAATAGAAGGGTCAAGCCACTGGGAAAATATAACAGTTCTAAATATGTATGCACCTAAAAACATAGTTCAAAATATATAAAGCAAAGACTGATAGATACTTAAACTTTATTGATGTATAACATAGACACGGAAAACTATACAGATCAAGAATACGTACAGCTCAGTGAGTTACCACAAAGTGAGCATACCAGAATACCCAAGATAGACAACATTATCTGCTCCTCAGAAGACCCCCTTGTAATCTCTCCCAACTTCTGTTCCTTTCCTCTTCTCCAAAGGTAAACTATTTTGACTGCTAATACCACTACCATATAACTTTGCTTTTTTAAAAACTCTATATAATAGAATCATCAGTAAGTATTCTTTTGTACTTGGCTTCTTTCACTAATATTATATTTGTTATATATGTTTTTAAACATCTCCTACTAAGTATTAACTTGCTATTATTATCTTACCATTTCAGGTATTTTAGAAAATTATGACAGTTTACGTGTACAAAATATTGAAAGAAATGGAAATATTATTTATACTTATAAGGTATGTTTATTTTTTTTTGACATAGTTCTGTACAATGTATTATTGAGGAGTAATGAATAAGAATTGTCCTTTAACCTTTAACATATGATTTTAGGGGTTTTTTGGTGAGATTTAATATGGTAATTGAAATTTAGTTTTATGAAATGTTTTTTCTTTTTTTAAATAAGATAAAATTGAAGGTGTATAGTATCTAACACAGTGCTCAAAATTTTTTTAATAAACAGAAAATTCCATTTTCTAGAGGAAAAATGCTATGTAAAAGATTTTTAAACCAAATTAATAAGTTAAATTTTTAGCTTTGAAAAAAATACGATTAAGTTATTCATTCAGACAGACTAAAG